CATGATTGTGGCACAATGACTGTGCTTCATTGTGGATTACTTGGTTCTGTCCTGGGTTTGATGTCCCGTCCTCCGGGTTTTCAGTCAACTCTGAGGACTGGATAACCTTCCAGAAAATTGTTCTTCTGTGTTTTTTTTAAACAATCATTTTGTTGGGGGCTCATACAACTCTTATCACAATCCATACATACATCAATTGTGTCATTTGTACATTTTCTGCCCTCATCATTCTCAAAACATTTGCTCTCCACTTAAGCCCTTCACATCAGCTCCTCTGTTCTTCTGTTTTAAGTTGGCCACAGTAACACAGACTCAAATGGGTACAATCTGCGTCAATCAAATGAGTACCTGAATTTGCTATTTTTATATCATGCCAATGAGTTTTTTCTGGAAAAAAAAAAAAAAGATAGGGAAAAAAAAGTGAACATCTAACAAACACAATCTTTCCTTGCCCTTTATATCAGTTATAGAGTCTTGTACTACCCTGGGCCAGGTCTAGCACTGGGACATCACTGGTATACCAGGGGGAAGGAAAGACATGTTGAATGAGTGAATGAACCCCAAAACTCAATAGGTATTATCTGGCACAGAGCCCTGACATTGTGGAGCGGTGCCATGAGCCCTATAAAATCTTACCTTTTCTTTCTGGGGGAGCAAGAGAACATCACTGTAAAAATGGCTGCAATACAAAACTCAAACTAAACTCCCTGCCATTGAGCTGATTTTGACTCATAGCTACTCTATAGGACAGAGTGGAATATATCCTGTGTGTTTCCAAGACTATAAATCTTTATGGGAGCAGAAAGCCTCATCTTTCTCCCCTGGAGCGCTTAGGGGACTTTAACTGCTGACCTTCTGATTAGTAGCACAACAAGGAATGTATTATGCCATCAGGTCTCTTTCCAGATGAAATGCCAGATGGGGGTAAACATTTACAGTTCAGAATGGAGCATATTCTAAGTAGGAACTTTACATTAATTAATCAGTAAGGGATAACAATAACATTCTCTGAGTTATACGTATTTAGAAATCAAAACACGAGCCAAAGAAGTAATTCCTCCCCCTCCTCTGGCCCAGTTGAACTCTCAACTGCTTCAGTGCCCTGCTTTTTCATAGAAATACTTAACAAAACTGTTTGAGCCAACACAAAACAAGACATCTGAGAACACAATAAATCCTTGGAAAGAGTTCTACTGGACAGCTTTTATTTGGCCACCAACTTGAAATGCTAATCACAAGCCAGTACATCTCTCAATGTTTTCCATCTTCAAGGGGGTATTCAATTGCTATGCAGCCAGGATGGGTCAAAAATATATCAGCTTTTAATAATACCCAGTTTTAGATGCCGTCAGCAAGATGACATGCCCTGGAAAGGATTCTACTGTTGCAGCATTATTACTAAGGATGACTTGTTTGATACAATCAACAAAGAAAAAGTCGATTATCCAAATGGGATTTCTGGCAGGCAACTGCATTCTCATTAAAAGGAGGACCAGTGGGCCAAACATGCTGTAATAAACATTGTAGATGAACTGGACATTCAAAAGAAGAGCTCTTCATGGGACCACAAGAATGTGGAAGGCCCAGGAATTCCCGTTTCACCCAAGTATAGGCAATAAAACCCGCTGACCTTTACCAAACCTCTTGGCAGCCCTAATCAGGATTGATGTCTAAGGAAAAAGTTAAAAAGTCAAAGTAGCATAGTTTACATGATGTCATCTACTCTATTTTCATCTTTGAGATACTTAGACCTAATGTCATCAACCCCAGAGCTCTGGCACTTAAAAAATTCCAGGAAGGGTGGCTGCAGTATTTGAAAATGTTTCAAAGCTATTCATGAGGTTTTCAGCAGCTCCTTCCTCCGAAGTGGGAAGCCGGGTCCTTCTTCATTGTCGGCTCATAGTCTGGAAGGTCCACTGCAACCTGTTCCCTGTGGGTGGCCCTGCTGGCATTTGAAATACCAGCGGCATAGCTTCCAGCATCACAGCAACATACAATCCACCACAGGTCAACATGACCAGAGAGGTGTGAGTGAGCTTCCCTCTTGTGTGGTTGTTTGGCTTTAATACAGGAATAATGTGACTTTCCACAGACAGAAAAGGATTTATGAATTGCAGAATCTCTTCGGATATTTTTTCAACACCTGGATGAGGAAACCTTTGTGCTCCCTCAAAATTCTCCACATTCTTTTACATTTTCCTCACCTCCAACACGCACCACCTTCCCTGCAGCTTTCCCCATTCTTGATATGATCTGTTCAAAGGTCAGTGTTGCTGCTGTAAGTGCATCTTGGAGAAATCAGCTCTGCTGGGGAATCCACTGGGGTTGGACGGTTGGCTGTCCTCTTAGTGATTTTTATTATCATATCATTGATTCCAAAGTACACATTCTTCACATGGTATCTCTGAGGCCAGAGTAATTGTTTAAATGCATGGAAAAAAATACACAAGTGCTAGTATTTCCTGCTAATAGCTGTAATACCTTGTCTTTGGTGGCTCCTACAGTTATCTTGTTGACTGCAGCATTGATACCCAAAGTGCCTCTGAACCGGATGTACATCCTCGCGAGTCAGACGCTCTGGGGGCACGATGCAGCTGTTGACTCTCTCCAGGCTGTATAAGTGGGGGTAGGGCAGTATGCGGTGGTTAGGTGTGCTGTCAAGTTGGCTCCAACTCACAGTGACCCTACGGTACAGCATGGTGTTTGATTAACCAAAGCCTGGAGTACAACTCTAACCCGATTCACAGGCATCAGCCACAAGTTGGAATCGACTCCACAGAAATGTGTTTGTTTTGTTGCAGCTCCTCTGCAAAGACTATGAGTCAACATAACTTTCCCGTATTGACAATGTACCAGGCGCTGTTCTAAGCACTTGCTATGTACGAGGGGGATTCAAAAAGTTCTTGGGAAAGTAGAATTGAGAGATAATGGAATTTCCCCAGAAAAATTTTGAAGCTCCTTCTTATTAAGTTTTAATTTGAACAACAACAACAACAACAACAAAACGAAGGTACTTATATTACCCTCCATTTAACAGAGAGATGAGTTAAGTCATCTTAATGTTAAGTATCCTCATAACTGGACCAATAGGCAACATCATGATAAATGGCAAAAAGGTTGAAATTATAAGGATTTTGTCTTGTTTGGCTCCACAATCAAAGCTCATGGAAGCAGCAGTTAGGAGATCAAAAGATGCATTGCCTTAGGTAAATCTGTTGCAGAAGGCCGCTTTAGAGTATTGACAAGCAAAGATTTACTTTGAGGACTAAGGTATGCCTGGCCCAAGCCATTGTATTTTCCATAGCCTCATATGCCGTGAACAGGGAAGACCAAAGAAGAATCTATCCATTAGAATTATGGTATTGAAAGTATCATGGACTGGCTTTAAAGGACAACCAGCGTACACCTTAGAGGCAAGGATGGTGAGATTTTGCCTCACATAGTTTGGACGTATTATCAGGAGAGACCAGTTCCTGGGAGGACCTCATTCACGTAAAGTAGAGGAAGAGAGAAAAGAGGAAGACTTCAACAAGATGGATTGACACAGTGGCTGCAACAATGGGCTCAACTCTAAAAACAATTGTGAGAATGTTGCAGGACTGGATGGTATTTCATTCTGTTGTACAACATACGGTCATTGTGAGTCAAATCCAACGTGATGGCAAACAACAACAACAACAATACGAAGTATAGGAGCAGGGATTTGAACACAAGCAGATTAGATTCAGGGTTCCTGCTCTTACTATGTATTGCTGCCATGCAAGGATTCATGATACTATCATTGATAAATACGCAGGCAGCAAGAAGTCAAATCTCTTCCGGAAATTGATCACTACAGACAGTGACATGATTCAGTTTGCCTGGAGGTTTGAGTTTCAGGGTTGTAAGAAAAAGGCAGTGGATTTTAGTATCCAACCAACAACAGCACCAAAAAGACAAAGTGGCTTCAGAGATAGACAACTGGGCCAGGATAAAGGAAGCCAGGTGTCTGCAACCAGCTTTGTTTTAAGACTCCTTAAAATGTCCTTGTAAGCCCCATCCATCTGCAAGTGCCTTCACTGTTGAATCCTATTCAGTTTTCCTCCCACTTGCCTGAAAATAGGTTTGGTATGTTTTCTCAGGTCAAAGGTAAACTCGAAGGCAAAGTCTTTTAGTAGTGAAGAAAATTTAAGACTAAACTGCAGCCTATGAATGTAATTCATACTCACCTCTGCCCTACAGGACAGAGTAGAATTGCCCATGTGGTTTTCCCAGAATTTACAATTTTTATGGAAGATAGCTTCATCTTTCTCTCTTCAGTGGCTGGTGGTTTAGAACTGCTGGCCTTGTGGTTAACAGCCCAAAACATAACCCACCACAACACCAGGGCTCCTACAGGGTTGCTAGGAGTCAGAAGTGGCTTGATGGCAATGAGTTTAGAGCTTGAGTGAGGAAGGTGAATCCGAAAGAAGCTCTCTAAATTGTTTAAAGAATGGGTGGTCTCCTCGACAGAAGTCTAAAAGTAGGCTTGCGCTTCAGATGTTAAAGCCATGAATATTTATTTATTTATTCTTCCTCTTTTGGGAACTGCCTATTGATGTTCTTCCATTTCAGGACTGAGTTATTTATCTTTCTTTAAAAAATATTTTCAAAGTTTTACATATATTGTGGTTATTATTATTATTATTATTTTTAATATTGTGGTTATTAGATTGTTCTTAGATGTATAATGTCCCAAGATATTTTCCCAGTTATAGCTTGTATTTCATTTTTCGGGGTAAAGTCTTTGGATGAACAAAAGTTTTTAATTTTTAGGAGATCTCCTTTGCTTGTTTTCTCTCTTGCTGTGCGTGCGTTTGTTAGTGTATTAGATCTACCTCTGTTAAACTCTAGGGCAGAGAGTGTTGAACCTGCGTTTTCCTCTAAGAATCCTATGCTGTTCGTTTTCACATTTAGGTCCTTTAATTTGCATGTGTGTGTGGCACGAGTCATGGATCCTGTTCTGCTTCCTGCAGGTGGAAATCCCGTTTTTCCAGGAAGATCATACAGGCCCTTCTTTCTTCATGGAATGGACCTCACACTGTTGTCAAACATCTGTTGTCTGTAGGTGGGTGCACTTATTTCCAGAAGTCTCATGAACACTTATTTTCAAATGAGATTTCTTTTATAGCTAGACTCATGGAGTGCTTAAAATAAGATTAGCATCTTTATATGTCAGCGAGGTGATTAAACAAAATTGCTATCATTGGCTTGCATCTTTAGTAGGAAGTGATAAAATAATTTTCTTTTGGTTTTTAGGATTATGACCCTGAAACTACAATTGGTAAGCTATTTAATTTTCTCTCTTAAAATTTTAGTTACATGTAATTATCCTAGATCAAGAACGTGCTATAAAAAGTAAATTTTCCTGAAAAAAAAAACCCCAAACCCAAAACTTTCAACTTAACCTAGGAATAAAAATCAATGATGTCGCTTTAAAGACATTCCATTTAAAATGCCGACTTAGGCATGTCAGCATTTTTTCATTAATATTAGTTTAGGTTATTAATCAATAAGGTTTTTAAGAGCCCGATGACACTATCAATGCACTTGGTCCATTATTATCATTATTATTTAATACAACAGTTAATCCTGCCTTCTAGGTACATTCAAAGATACATCACATTTTGGGGGTGTGTGTGTGCTCAGACAAGGTCCACTTTTCCTTCTGAACAGTAGGACAGATAATACAGATGGGTCACGTTGGGACTGGGAATAGCTAGTTGAAGACTAGGAGCCCTGGTAGCATAGTGGGTTATGAGTTGGACTGCTAACTACAAGGCCAGCAGTTCAAAATGACCAGCTGCTCCTCAGGAGAAAGATGAGGCTTTTTAGTCTCATAAAGAGTTACAGTCTCAGAAACCCACAGGGGCAGTTCTGCTGTGTCCTATAGGGTCACTGTGAGTCAGAATCGGTCAGATGGCAGCAAGTCTGGAGTTTTGGGACACATTGTGCCAAGGAGCACTAGTGATATAGTGGTAAACAAATTGGGTCTGTAACCACAAGGTCATCAGTTTGAACCCACCAGCCCCTTTGCGGGAGAAAGATGAGGCTTTCTGCTTCGACAAGTTATACAGCCTTGGAAACCAAAAGGGGCAGTGTCCTTCTGCCCTGTGGGGTCGATATGTCTCAGAATTAACTAAATGCAATACGTTTTTTTCTTTTCTTTTGGGGATGCAGTATACCAAAGTGCTCCTAACTAAACTCACCAAAAGACACTGTGAACAGCGATTTATTCATCTGGTGCAAGTGGTTTATTGAGAACAGGCTTACAGGGGAAAGCAGTCAGAGAGTGAGAAAATGACAAGCAGCTTTCCAAGATGTGGCTTTAGCTGCGACCCAGGGTGAGGCAGCTGTGAGAAGGCCCCGGTGGCCAGGAGGGGTGCATAGGACCCCTGGACGTTTCTTGGTCAGGTGGTTCTAGAAGCTGCAGAAAATTCTCCAGAGAAGATGGCAACTGAGAGCCACGCGCTGTCACGCATGCACCAGCTGGAGGCTAGGGTACCACCTGCTTTGGCAAAGAGACCAGGGGAGGGACACACGGTGCCTGCTATGGCCCAAGAAAGTCCAAGGGAGTAATAAAGTGTCATCTCAAAGATGTGAGCAGTTTGAGGTAGAAATTGGGAATTTGCTTTCCATTTACATCACTATTAACAAACCAACGCAAACCAACCGAAAACTTCACTGCCCTTGAGTGAATTCTGACGTCCAGCAGTCCTACAGGACAGGGTAGAACTGCCCCTGTGGTTTCAGACACTGTAACTCGTTACGGGGGTAGAAAGCTTCATCTTTTTCCCGAGGAGCGACGGGTGATTTCTAACTGCTGACCTTTTGGATCGGTATTTAACCACAACGCAACCAGGTCTCCACATCATTATCAAGTGACTGTTTAATCAGAGACACTCAGAGTGACTCTGTAGGACTAAACAGCCCTTTAGGTTTCCAAGACTGTACACTTGTTCAGGGCTAGACAGTCCCATCTTTCTCCCATGGAGCAGTTGGTGGGTTCAAACAACTATCCCTGTTAGTGGATCAATGGATTACCCGCAACAGCATCAGGACTCCTTGAGTCAGAAGCTACTAGACCGGCAGAGTTTGGTTTGGGAATCAGAGGAGTACTTGTACAGAGCTGTTTTTAGGAATGGAAAGGCCAGGGAGCGCCGAAAAATGTCTTCCCGCCAAACGTTTGAAACCTCCGAGTTTATTGTTGATAACAGTAAACTGGAGTTCAAATCGCCTACCATCTCCTGAGCTGTCTTTGGTAGCTTTGGGGGGAAGTGAGTGCTAAAATAAGGGAAGTGGAAATAACAACCATGTCAACAACAACAACACCAGTCTTCCTCAACACGAAGAGGAATGCCCTTTTCAGAGTAGGTCTTTGGCATTCCCCGTGAATGCCCAGGGGTTAGCTCTGCTTCTGTGATAAAAGGTGGCTTCCATGCCTAGGCACCAGGATCAAGGGATCCGGGATATGGTGTGTTTAAGAAGGAAACATGGTCCTTAGGGTCAGGTTTGTGAGGTTGAAGATTTGGGTCAAGCTACAAATTTCTGAACTGTATCCATGTCAGTTTGGCAGAGAGCTGGTCACTCTTCAGTTTTTTGGACAGTTTCTTTGGTCCTGTGGCGGGGACAGAGGGTCAGGACTGTGCCGTCATAGAAAGCACTTGGGGAGTCATACTTAGTCCCTCATTGTTTGGAATCTCATCTCATCAATCCCCCACCCCAAGGTCAGAGGCTCATCACTTATCCACTCTAAGACAGGAAATTAAACATTTTAATAATTCTTAAGGGATCATGCTTCATAAAGTAGAGGGTCAGAGAACAAGATGACCCCCAATGAGATGGACTGAAACAGTGGCTGCAGCTCAGACAGAGCAACAACGGGGCGGGGGCGGCCCGGGAGCAGTTTGTTCTGTCCGACACAGGGCTGCAGGGAGTTGAAATGACTCAACAGCACCTAGCAACCATCCAGATCCCCGGCCGTGTTCTGGAGCAGTGGAACATGGTGCAGGGAGGTGCTGTCTTCCTTTTCCTGAGAAGAAAAGGGATAGAATGTGGAGCCGGGATTTGGGGAAAGTCCTGTGCCAATGCTGTTATGAGTTTTGAGCTCATAACTTGCTTGCATGTTTGATCAACTTTTGACTCAAGACGTTGATAAAATTCTATCATTTCTTATAAGTTTTAGTGGTCGGTGTATCAACTTCAGTAGTAGTTGTATTGACTGGATTTCTTTGTATACGGATAGATGTTATGCACTCACAGGGAGCATTGAGCTTCAAGATCGATCTTAAATGTCTAATTGATGATGGATGAGACTCCGTTCCTCTTGCATTTGTCATTCCTGCCATAGTGAACCACATCATTGTCTGATTCAAAAATGGCCCAGACCAGTCGATTTCAGCTCACCAATGCCTCAGATAGCGATCTTTTTGTGTTCCACTTTATTTTTGATGATTTGCAATGTTCCTAGATTTATACCTCACACATTCCAAGTTCCAATTATTAATAGATGTTTTCAACTGTTTCTTCTCATTTCAAGTCATGCCTCATCAGCGAATGAAGGCCCCGAAGGCTTTACTCCTGAAAGTTTTACTCCATTCACAACATTATGGTTGACTCTACTTTGAGAAGGCAGCTCTTCCTCTGTCGTATTTTGAGTGTCTTCTGATCTGAGGGGCTCACCTTCTGGCACTATCTCTGACAACGTTCTGCTGCTATCCACAGGGCTTTCAGTGGCTCAGTCCTTAGCGGTGGACAGTCTGTACCTTCTTCGATGTCTGTTTTTAGTCTGGAAACGCTGCTGAACCTGTATTTGAAATACCAATGACATAGCTACCAACATCACAGCAACACACAAGCCAACTCCATACAATAAACTGACAGGAATGTGTGGGCTGAAGCCCGCAGTCTTTGATTTTCATTAGCAAGTGCTTCAAGTCTTCCTCATTTTCAGTAAGCAAGGTTGGGTCAACTGCATAGCATTGGTTATTAATGAACCTTCCTTCAATCCTGATGCTGAATTCTTCTTAATATATCTTCTTCCAATAACCTCGCAGATTATCTGCTCAGCATACAGATTGTATAAGTATGGTGGAAGGATGAACCCTGACACATCTTTCCTAATTTTAAACCACTCAGTATCCTTTTGTTCTGTTTGAACAACTGCCTCTCAGTCCAGGCACAATTAAGTGCTCTGGAATTCCCATTCTTTGCAATGCTATGCATAGTTTGTATGACCCACAGAGATAAAGTCCTTTGCACAGCCAATAAGACACAAACAAACTTCTTGCTGGTACTCTCAGCTAAGATCCCTATGACATCATCAGTAATATCCTTCATGGAAAGTTGTCTTCTGAATCAGACTTGGATTTCTGGCAGCTTTCTGTTGCTATACTGTTAAAATCATTTAAAAAATTATCCAGCAAAATTTTACTTGTATGTGCTATTAATCATATTATTTGATATTTTCTGCCTCCAATTGGATCACTTTTCTTTGGAATAGGCACAGATATAGGGCTCTTTCTATTGGTTGGCCAGGTGGCTGCCTTCCAAATTCCTTGGCACCATGTCCAATACAATCTTCTCTCCCCAGTGTCTTTAGCTTGACTGGGGGCTGACGGGAAGGTGGTGATTAGTAACCACATTGAGAGACTGGTGATATTAATCTTAGGGACACCATGGCCGTGGTGGCTCCTCCTCTTACAACCCAGGCTCTCCTACCATTGCCTTTGCTGCTGTGGACCCAGAGGTCACTTTGGAATCACCCTCTTTGGCCATGTCAGTGAGTGTGGCTGAACCCCCATAAGCCCCTAAGGACTCAACTATTGCCTGAAGACATTGAGCTCCTCCATTGGCTCAGTCCACAGATGTAATCACTTTGATTCCTGTGCATTCTATCTGTTGAGATCCCTATGTATGTTGTTGTTAGGGACTACGGACTCGGCTCTGACTCATAACAATCCTGTGCACAACAGAATGAAACATGGCCCAGTCCTGCTCGATCCTCACAATTGTTCTTAGGATTGAGCCTATTGTTGCGGCCACTGTGTCAATCCATCTTGCTGAGGGCCTTCCTCTTTTTCAATGCCTCTGCACTTTACCAAGCATGGTGTCTTTCTCTAGGGACTGGTCTTTGCTGATAACATGTCCAATTATATGAGATGAAGTCTCGCCATCCTTGGTTCTGAAGAGCATTCTGGCGGTACTTGTTCAATGAGAGATTCATTTATTCTTTGGCATTCCATGGTGCTTTGATCCCTCTGTGGAATCACCATTGATGCTGTA